CCTGCTTCCTTTAGAACTAGTATGAAATTTACATGAAAACATATATTTGATAATTAAATGTCAAATTCTTCTTCAAAATATTAAAGGTTTTTTTACATTAATTAACTCTTTAGAGGGGATTCTTGCAGTGGAACTGATAGGTGATTGAGACAAGCCAGTAGTTTAAATCTTTTTGAAAGATAAATTTAGATTTATTCCTGGCAGTTGCATTTTAGCTTTGAACATTTTTAGTGCTGGACTGAAAAGAGCAGACATTTTTCTTTTTACATTTATATAAGTCACTGCACTGAAATAAAATTGATTTATAGGTGGTTTGCATTTGCAAATGTTGTAAATGCTTACATATGTGCTTCATTTTATGCTTGGGAATTCAGTGGAGCTACGCGTGTGTTAAGCTTGCCCGTGTATGTTTGCAAGATTAAGTCAGTGATTTATAAAATTTGCTTGGCTGTCGCATTGCATCATGTGCCAGACCTATCACTCTCTCTGCAAAAACACAAACATACCCCACATACTTCCTATCTCACTGATACTCAAACGAACAAATTCTCGCTGTTTAAAAGTGATGTCCGTCACTGGTAAAGACACTTTTTCTTCTAATCTCTGTTTTCCTAACAAGATGTAATACAGCCAGTGGTAGTATTCTCATATATATTCTCATGTACTCTAAAGAGGCCGACCTATCACTCTCTCTGCAAAAACACAAACATACCCCACATACTTCCTATCTCACTGATACTCAAACGAACAAATTCTCGCTGTTTAAAAGTGAGGTCCGTCACTGGTAAAGACACTTTTTCTTCTAATCTCTGTTTTCCTAACAAGATGTAATACAGCCAGTGGTAGTATTCTCATATATATTCTCATGTACTCTAAAGAGGTGCACTACTTTCCTTGTCTTTATTTCTGCTGTATTTCTTCTAATCTCTGTTTTCCTAACAAGATGTAATACAGCCAGTGGTAGTATTCTCATATATATTCTCATGTACTCTAAAGAGGTGCACTACTTTCCTTGTCTTTATTTCTGCTGTATTTTGCTATTTTTCTTCTAATCTCTGTTTTCCTAATGAGATATAATACAGCCAGTGGTAGTCATGATATTCTCATGTACTGTAAAGAGGTGCACTACTTTTCTTGTCTTTATTCTGCTGTGTTTTGCTATATGAAACGGTTCTTTTACTTTCCAGATAGGAGCATGTGGCTACATTGAATCGTTAATTAAGAATAGCTGCTGGTTGATTCAGGCATTTAGCTTGGCCTGTACAGTTAAAGGCTACCGTATTCGTAAGTATACCCCATTTTTCTTCATAATTTTCTATAAATAAAAAAATCACCTTTGAAAATCCTCTACCATGTTTAAGTCATGCCCTCACTTGACATACTGCCTTGTGAAAATACCGTACCTGCAAGTTCATTTGATACAGCCTGGTCCTGTATTGACTAGCAAGAAAGAACATTGAAAATATTTCATAGAACCAAAGGAGGTACATACACTGGGAGAACTATCAACATCCCCCCCCCACACACATACCCACAACCAGCATTTGCTGTAAATAAACATTTTGGTGTTACCAGCGTGTAATACAGCTTCCCCTGTGTATACAGGTGATGTGATATGTGAGGGTATGGGTTCACAGTACAAACTGAGCTAAAATGTCAGCTCACCATCCCTGCAAGGAGCGGGCACCTTTTCCCAGCTGCAGAGTCCTGCTCCTCCCTGTGTGCCAAGTCTTGTATTCAGTCGCTCAAAGGGTAAACCAGTTCAGCTCACTGAAATGGCAAAAGGCTGAGCCAGCATAGAATTTTTGCAAGCATAGTGAGTTTACGCAATTATTTTTATGACTATTCTCATCTTTGTGGTGATAACAAGGAGGGAGTGGGTAGTGTAAGTGGATGGAGGTGAGAGAAGTGAGGAATGAAGTATGGAGAGAGCGAGACACTTCACCTCTCAGTGAGCTATTCATTTGGCTCCACTTTGTCCTGACACCCTGGATTGACAGTTTGAAAACACCTGATTTTTCTAATTGCTTTTTGCTGAATTTAAAGATTATTTCATCCTAGTGACTCTGCAGCGAAGTTCTGAATTCATGTCTGATCCTAATAGATAAGTGGGGAGTAGGAGAGTAGAAAGGAAACACGAAGATGCAAATTCACAAGATGAATGGTGTGCAGTAGTTCCTGTATTATCCAAAACTTTTTGTCCAGCAGCAGAAACTTAGACACAGGTTTCTGACTCCCAAGGGGATGGAAACAGCAGGCTTTGAAGCTCTTAGAGCTTGACCTTCCCGACCTATTGGACTGGCTTGCTTGATTGTAGGCCAGCTTCAAGTCCGTGTCTGTCCCTTGAGTCCTTCTACTCCCTTCTGTAGGGCACCATAGGCCATTTAGTTTATAGTCCAGCTCCACAAAACCCAGTTTTAATTTTTTAATATCCCCAAGAGAGCTGTCTTTTAGAGAATAAAGAAAGAAAGCAAGCAAGAAAGAAGTAGCCCAAGCCAAAATCTAGAGGTGGGAGGAATGGGATTTCCTCTCTGCCTACTCCTCCTACCCCAGAGAAAGCAGTTTTGTGGTTTCAAATATTTTTTCTCATATGCAATGGAAAGAAACATTGAACTGAGTTGTGGAGAGGAAAAATAAAAATATTAGGTGGTGGGAGTAAAAAAATTTGACAAAAATAATACACTTCTTTCTCATGTGGATAGTGTTCTTAATGAAAAAATGAGACAAAAAGTCACTTTGAAATTAAAAAAAAATTTAAATATGCCATTTTAGAAAATACTGAAATAAAATATTTCAGGCTAACAAAAAATACTTTTCCCATTCTTTTTCAAGTACTTATTAGGATAGGGTGAATTTGTTTGAAAATGGTTCCCTTTGGTGAATTCTCAATTTTCATTCCAGTTTTCTGTAAAAGAAAATACGGTGTACTTCACATGGAAATGCATTAAATAAGTTAATTAAATTACCTCAATTCGAATAGTTTTAAAGGCTAAGATTATTTAATTGATTAAACATTATAAAAGAATACTTACTACAACAGTACTTATGCTGATGTTGTCTTTTTCCAGCAACCAACAATCTAGATTGTAAACTGCCCAGTGGAGAAGCAGGAATCATTTGGGACAGTATATGTTTTGCTTTCCTGCTGCTGCAAAGAAGAGTCTTCATGAGTTATTACTTCCTGCATGTTGTTGCAGACATAAAAGCTTCTCAGATCTTAGCATCAAGGTATCATGAAGTTTTAAGACATTAAATGAAACAGCTCAAGTCTGTCATGGCTACGGTACTTAATTGTTTACGATAAGTAGAGTCCTTTACCATAGGTTTAAACAATTCATACTAAATTCATAACTGCAAACCCAGCTCTGACAAAGCACACATAAGCATTCTATCAACATCAATGTGTATGCGAGCAAGAGTTTCTAAGCCTTGGAGAGAAAACACTGCTCTCAGAGCCTGTTTGAGACAATGAGCCTTAGAAATCCCGCCTACAAAAATGTTACATGAGGAAAAATACAGGAAAGTTATGACATCTGAATTGGGAAGGCCATTGGGAAGACACTCAGGAAATGTCACATCACTGAACAGTGACTCGGTGTGGCAAGAAATGATCACCCTCTTTGTGTAAATATAAGTATAAATATATCTACTAATTTTAATATAAATATAGTGATATAATAATTTTTTTTTTTGGTTAGCTGCTTGTCTTGCTAAAATCCAGGCTTTAAATTTGCATGGACAATGGAGAAGGTCAGGTTTGGATTCACACAACATGGTCTGAGCCTGTCTTCTAGTTAAAAGTTAATATTATGAAATACAAATACCTCCACTAAATGAGATTAAATTCTGATTCAGACATTAGCGATGAGGATCCAGCAAGAGTTTTCAATATTCTGTAAGTATTGAGGAGAACACGTCCTTCTTTGTTGTAATTTACCATACTTTGGGACAATAATGATGTCCAGTCTTGACCGTATTCTTTTGACAAAACATAGTAGAGGTTATCCTGCATATTGCATGGAAGAATGAATGATTAATCTTACAGAAAACAAGGTTGAAACTTACTTAGAAGTAGACTTCTGAAACTATAGCTGTTCTTACTGAATTCCTGACAAAAGAAAGGCTTTAAATCTATGCTACTTCTTTGAGAGAGACTGCAGCTCTTTGAGAGTCTCAAGCGCTGATGAGTGAATAATGAAGGATGGCCAAGTCATGTGATGTGGAAATCAAAATCAGTGAGTCAGTTAAATTTCTAATTAGTTAGGCGCCATATTCTTTTGGCACACCAGAAACTTGCTCAAGGATTTGTGTCATCCGATTGAAAGCACTGTAGTGTTCAGAGGGTAAAAATGAAGCTGAAGCTTTGCTCATCATGGCCCTGGATAAAGCTGGACATTGCTCACAACTTCAGGGGGGCTGAGGCAGAGGGACAAGGTGAGTATAATGCTGAAATTACTATAAAAACTACATCCTGGAGGTGCACAAGATATCCTACCTTGACCTTGAACCCACCCCTGTTCTGTGTTCTTGACAACTGGAAACTGAATTCCTTGAACAGCTGCAGGAGGAACTTAAAGGCTGAGTAGGGATCACAGTGTTAGGCCACAGAGCTTGCAATGCTTGATTGTAAACAGATTAGTATTCTGGAGTAATTGATTATTTCTTTCGGGCATTCAATTAGTTTTGGTTTATGCAGGTGAAGTTGTGTACAGAGGGGACACAGAGTTCTCTTGTGATTAGCTGGCATAAGGGAAACTTAAATGTTTCCTCTCTTTTTTTCCTTTCTTCTGCCCCTATTTCTGTTGTAGGGGTGCTGAGCTTTTCCAGGCTACAATTGTCAAGGCTGTAAAGGCAAGAATTGAAGAGGAAAAAAAATCAATGGATCAACTGAAAAGGCAGTATGTATTTAATGGGGTTTTTTAATAGATATAAACATCCATACACATGCATGTATTTCACTGATTGTTGGTATTTAGCTAGCAACTTCTTTCATAGAAATGCTGATTAAGTTTTGAAGTATGATTTTGCAATTACAAAAAATGTTCTCTGGGCATTCAGAGATCTTGGGTATTCCAATATTATTTGGTTTTAGAATCCTCTTTTCCAAAAAGGCAATGTACTGTAGAATCTAAGGTTTCATTTAAACATAAAATTACATTTGTAGGACCAAAGGTTGTTAGGTTAACGTAAAGAATCAGAGTGGAATGTACTGATTTACCTACTCCGCGGTGAAACTGAAATTGTAATGGAAACAGATGTTTCCTATAAATCAAGAGAGAAAATGTGAACCCTCCTGCTTAATCTGAAGGTTATTCTAAACCTTAGAAATCCAATGAAGACAGGTTAAGAAGATCAGTTTTTAACTGTTCCACACCTGAGTATCATAGCAATATGACCATATAGTTTTTTCTTTAAGAGATGATCTGTATCTGTGCAATATTTTTTCTCTGTTAGAGGTCCAGCTCAATTGTAGTTTTGGGTTATCTTATTTTGTACAGTATGAATGCATGCAATGCAGATGAAATATAGGGGAAGAAATCTGTCTTTTTTCCTCTTTCTTTCCTTCCACTAATTATCCTGCTGTTCTCCCAGTTTGTTTCTCCCCATCTCTCAGAAGAGTAGGGCAGTCACATGCAAATTCCCCGTGAAACTCATGAAAAGTGTTAGGCAGATTACTAATCACAAGTACCACATTAACCCTGTCTCATTTGAAGGTGCAAACCTAGGTGGTTAGGAAATAGGAGACTGAGACACAGGAACTGGGTTAAAAAAAAATAGGAACAAGAAGAGGCATGGTTAGGGAAACTGTAGTTAAGAGCCACCTAATTAGCCTGAAATCACTGTACGCTAAGGAAGCTGAGTAACAGCTTTAAACAACCAGGTTGTCCTGACTGACATAGTCTAACTTCAGCATCAGATGAATGATAGGGAAATAAATCTGATCATCTACCTAATAATAGCAACTAACTGAGGTGAGAGTTTTTCCCTAGCTAGTGAGAGGTTCTTCCCTAACAAACGGAAAGATTAATAAAAGGATTTAAGTGTATTTTGATCACTGAAATTAGTGAATCTTTGCTTCTGATCCAGTTGTATTGAAAGAACTTATTCCTGTTGATTTAATTTTTTTTTTTACTACCATTTTTCAATCTGAAAACGTGGAAGTCTTAAAAGACCGGATTGTGCTAACTTTACAGGATTGCATGAAGGAGAATCGAAGGCTTGCCTACATCTGCACAAAACTGATCCATCTTAAATCTCCTGTATTTACAGATATGTGGGACAAATTAGAGCTTAAGAGGTGAAGATGTAGCACAAATAGTGCAGAAACAGCCACATCCCTGGTTCAGAGGTGCAAATTTCAGAAAAACCACTGGATTAGGCAGAAGTCCTTTTTTGTCTGAGCTTCCATTTGCTGTATTGTAACTAATAACAGCAGTTCTTTAATTTTTAAAAGATATTTAAGGGGGAGTAGGTAAAACAGTCATGTGATAACGGACAACCAGCTCTCATTGATGAATGAATGAACATGTAGGCTTGATCTTTCCAGCCAGTCCCTTCAGAGCCATTCAACTCCTTATGTTTAAGGGCAGTATTAATGACAATGTGGAATGGATAATTCCTTTAGAAATGTTGGAGTGCTTGTGTGTGTGTGTATGTGTTTAACACTCTTCTTCAGGATGGGTCAAAAAGGGTGAAGACGTGAATCTAATAAGATTCTTCCTTTTGCTAGAATGGATCGCATCAAAGCCAGGCAGCAAAAATACAAAAAGGGTAAAGAGAGGATGCTAAGCATGACCCAGGAATCCTCAGAGGGGCCGGAGATTCGGAAGATTTCTGAAGAAGATGATGAAGGTACCATTAGCTATTGTACCATAATTGCAGTTGAGTGTTAAGGTCTTAATAGACCTAATAGGTGGATAAGTGATAAATTATTCTTCAAAACTGTCAGCATGTAACAAGGTTATTATCTGAGTATCAGTTTGGAGCTTGGTTCAGCCAAAAAAAAATTGGAATTTTGTACTGCAGAAAGGTTTAGAGAAAACTGTTTGCTTTGAGGTAACTTTTGGTCAACTTGAGGCTGTTGGCAAAGTGCTGCATAGCAGCAGAGGTTTGTTTTGAAGAAAGTCATTATCTCTAAACCACAGTGTCACCAACAGGTAGCATCCACGTTTTTCCAGGAATGTTTTCTGCATGCTCTAAGGGTTTTTTTTCAGTCACTGAAATGTTTGTATACTTTGAAATGTTGTTTAGAACATGGGAACAGATAAAATGATATCTATCTAATGCCACATTTCTAGCACTGACTTGGGATCAGCACTTACTGGATTTAAAATTTTTGAAGGCTGAAATTTAAGGGGATTTGAGGACAGGGAAAGTATTTTCTCCTTGATATTACAGTCAACTGTAAGTGTATGTTTTAAAACACAAAACTGAACTTTAAACTGTTTTAGAGTATAATGCTGTTTTAACTGCTGCATGTATCAGACTATTTATGCTTAGTGGTACTGCTCCTGAGTGATTTTAAGTTTGAAATGTGTTCAGTAGATCTGACATCTGATGTTCTCATGAAATTTTAACTTTTTTGAGAGAAATTAAAAATTATTAATCAGTGTAAGAAACATGTTTTTCACTTTGTAAAATTAATATTTGGACATATTTTATTTTAGGAGAAGCAGACAAAGAGAAAGCCAAGGGCAAAAAAAAGCTGTGGTGGCGGCCTTGGGTTGATCATGCTTCCAGTAGGTTTTCTCAATCATCTTACAAATATGTGGATTTAACCCTTATATCCTTGACCAGAATGAAGGCATTCCCATGACCTGTTTGTTTTATGCCTGATTTTATGATTGTGACTTGATAGAAGGCTTGTTTTTTTCAACAAATGAGTTCTACTTCCAAATCTTCAAGGAGTGAGTTTAACTGTGTTTTGAACTTCTGTGTGTTGGAAGCATAGCTAGCTCATGATACTTTGGGCATTCCTAGAAAAATATCAAATCAGATAAACAAGTGCCAAAAAGAATCTATTTTGGCCTCAAAAGTCTCAACTGCCCCCTGCTGCAAAGCACAATATATTTTAAAATGTGGAGGTTTGCCAATGCATTCTAAGATTAGTAGTAATTTCTTTTTCATATGCACACTTCATACATCTTTTTTTATGGTTAATCAGTCATTTTACTGTCAGCTGTAGAAACACAAGTACCACGGTAAGGCAAGAAGACTGAGCTCAGCTGAATATCTCTGACTGCACTTCAAAGTACTGTTGATGCCAGTTGTTTTGTTCTTTACTTTTTTTTGGTGTGTGTTTATCTGAGAGAAAAGAAATGTTCAGCCTTGTGCACAAGAAATTATTACCCTATACCACTCATATTATTGTTGCATTATGATGTTTTAATTTGTTTGTAGCCCAGTCCAGGCATACAATAGAGTTCTTCCCTACATTATGGATTAGGTAAAACAAGAAAACTGAGTAGACTGCAGTCTCCAATCAGTTGAAGGCAGTCAGTCATGAGCTATTTAATAACCTCTGAAGATTTAAAAAATACTCAAGTGTATAGCACTGACCAGAGTTAAATATGAATGTCTATATTGTGCCTGGTCATTTAGTTTAAAAGTTACTCCAGGTAATACTTTTACGCATCTATATATTGCTTCATTTTCCTATGTGTATTTATTTATAATTCCAGCATATATATTTGCCAACAGCATTTAACAGAATGTCATATGATTATTTCTATCAAGTCACAAGTAAATTGTGCCTCATTTTATTTTTCTAAAGGGCACACTGCCACTTTAGAGAGACCTATCCCTTTTCAAAAATCTTATGAAAATAAACTTCTTGCCCTATAGTTTCATTAAGAACAACAATGGCAAAATGGATCAAAACCAGTTTGTGAGTTTTTACTGTAGAAATATCAAGCTATGGAGATTTTGAAGGAATGGGATATGGTCTCTTATTTATTCACCACTGGTTTTGTAATAAGAACTGCTCAAATAGAGACATTGACTTTGGCTTTTACTTATTTCACCCTCATTATTTAATGTTGTTAGGTGGCAACTTGTGTTTTGGTATTTAAACAGTGAGCATTCTTGAAATGATTTACTGCAATAATGCAAAACCTTGTGGGAGACATCACAGACCTCGATTCTGCAAGCAGTGGTTGCCTGCCATGTGGCTTGCGTCCACATTCACTGAAACATGGCACGGACAGTAGGCGTTCTCAGGCGTACAAACTGGAAATAGACTGATAGTCCCCATCTAAAATGTTGGCACGTTTCTAAAACACTGTGCCATAACTGCAGCATTCTGCTGCACATGGCTGTTCAGCTCAGTCAACGGGTTTGTGGCTGTGGCTGTATATATGTATATATTGAAGTCACTCGAGCTTGGAGGTTTTATGCCCAATCTGATGTTTAGTTAGATTTTTACTTTTATTTTTATACCCCATATTATAATTCTAGCACACAGAAAGGTGGTTCATTTTCTATATTGTAGGAACAGATAGGAAACATGAGTGAGGGTGTCCTCATTGCCGCTCACACGCCCTCCCTTGCAGGGAGGTATGGTTCCTCCTGTGATTGTGGATTATTTATGGAGCCCCACAAAGATCAGCAGAAGTTTGGGCCACATGCTTCGAGGTCCTCAGCTTCTCTTGGAGCACAGAATTGTGTCTGATGTAGTGCAAAAGAAGATGCTTGCAGCTGTCTTTCCCTCTGGGCACAAGCAGATGATGAGATTATGCTGACTTCTGCCCCCTCCACCTAGTCCCACAAGGAAAGCCTGCAAGACCCTTTTCTCAGTATGAAAAAGTCATGTTTTGCAGTAGGACAGGGGTCCACCAAATCTGGTCTGGCCATGAATTATCTTACTAGTAAAACTTGGACTCTTCAATAATCCCTGTCGGTGTCTAACACGCTTCTTACTCCATTTTGATGTGTGCAAGAGTGCATTATTGCTATTCAATCATACCTCCCTCTTTAGCAGTGAAAGAGATGTAACTGCTGCATTAGGTATTGCCTCAGATTCACTTTAACCTGAAAGCTTTGGAGGGAGATCACTGTAGATTTGTTTTCTGCCCCATCAGGCATTCCAAGTCTACTCTGGGCCTTTAAGGCACTGCATGGCAGTAAAGCTTTTCCCCAGCTGCCAGATCTTATCCTGGCGATCTTGTGTGTGGACAATTTCTGATGCTGACTACAAGATAGTTTTTCTTGAAAGAGAACTGCAGGCAATTGGCTCTTAAAATGCATTCATCTCTTTAATGCATTTTAAATGGGCATTGTTAGAAGGCCCTGTAGCAAATAATTTATTTGCTTCATCCAAGAGATTTCCAAACTTTCTTTTCATCTCAATTCAGCAATTAGAACTGCTGAAGTGGGCTCTCTGTCCCTCTGCAAGGCGTTCATTGGTGTTAAAAGTCATAACTAGGCAGATGAAGAACAAAATTCCCTCTTTGAGGGAGTTTTAAATGCTGAAGTAGTGATCCAAAAGAGTTCTGGCAAATGTCAGTATGCTTACCCTGAGGTTTCTACAGCAGTTATTTGTGGTCACCTGTGTACAGAGGATCTGTGTAGAATTCAAGGTATGATTGAATTAAAGCAATTGTTACTTTTCCAGAAACCTATAATGAGGGTTAAATATAATTTTTGATATAAATATGTATTGCTCCATATATCCAGATCATGTGACCTTTCATCTAAGTAAGTGTTCCTTTAAATATTTCAGCTTAAGTGTGGAAATTATTTACCAGTTTTCACTGCTGAATGTAATGCTGTAATTTTGATTTTTCTCTTGCTCATTACTTTATTTTTAATTTCTTTTGTTTCCCTTCTTCATTCATGTAGGCCCGTTACCATCTGAGAAATAAAAACATTGCTTCTGTTCAAGGATATAAGGCCGAGCTTATTCACTGTGCATCTTTACTGTATCAAGGTTTCAGAATCTTTCTGAATCCGTGGGCAAAAAATTGAAACTCATTTGCAATCACGTTAATAGAATCCAAGTGATTTGTTTTAAACAAACCAAGGTTTTCCATTACCTCATCAAAGCTTAAATGTTTGAAGAAAGCATTAACTAGTACTATCCCATTCCGTAGTTTAAAGGATGCCTCAGCATTTTAAAGACAAGTTCTGTATTTTTTGTCCAGTGGTACTGTTTACGTAAATTCATTTACTTACCTGCTGGGCTTATTTTACTCCCTCAAATAACTATCAGTTCCAAATTAATTTAGATGTAACCGTTTTTTTTTTTTCCCCTAAAAAATGTCACCTAGTAAATTGTTATACTTCAAGCTTTTTCTTTACATTTTCTTCTCATGGTGATATTTTCCTTAATTCTTGTATAGTTTTCATTCATGCCCAAAGTATCACAGACTAACATCAAATAAATTGCCTGAGACCTTTTCATCTCTTGCTTCTCTATTTTCACCTCTCCTGGTTATGAATTTTTAAATGACTGGCTGGATGTTCATAGGTCTTGGGCAGTTGATAGTAGAACTTTCCAGAAAAATAAGAAAATATTTTGTTTCACTTAGTGGTCAGAAGTGGAAATTATTATTTGTTTGAGACGGATAGTGAAGAGGAAGAGGAAGAAGAGAAAAAAGAAGAGGAAGAGCCTCGGAAAAAATCTGCATTTCAGGTACTTTCTGGTAATTCTTCTTTCTAGTTGACATCTGGAAGAAAATATAGGCTACTCATAACAGAGGCACATATGTTAAAGCAGCCAGTGCATCAAAACTGGGCCTGAAAAGTACTGGAAATTAAATTTCTTGCCAATTTAAAATGCAAGTTTGCCTGTTGTAAGCATTGCCAAATTCCTACAGGAACTATAATGAAATCGTATCTTCATTCACATAGGCCTGAGGAAAACAAAAATATAAAGACTAATGTTAAGAATCTGAGCTTCTTTTTCTTTTCTTCCCCCCTGCATTGCAGTAAAGGCAAGTGAGGAAGCTGACATGCCTCTGGCACAGCTGTACAGTGTGTCAGTGGCTTTCTGATTTTGAGTAGATGTTATCATTCCATGAGGAAGTTATCCCAAAAATAAGTGACTTTTCGTGGAAAAGGATACATACTTTAAAAATAAATATAAATATATATTGATCCTAGTGGCCCAGAAAAAGATATCCTTGGGTTATAAAGAGCTTAACATTTAAAATTATAACAGGACACTACATCACTTTCTCTCCTTTGTATTTCATGATAATTTTAATTAATATGTTTGCATTTTAAGTGACAGACTGTGTTGGAGTGAGGATATTGTAATGTTAAAAAGTTAGTTGAAGTTTCCTAGCTGGGTTCCTACATACAGACTGGTTGATGTTAGACAGCACCAGGTACTGAATCCACTGGCTGAAATGAAGAACTTGGGTTGAAGTTGTTAGTGGAATACTCATGCATATAGGATTGCTTTAATCTTCATAAGACTGAAGTTTTACTTGTTGAATTTTCAGAAATACCATGTAACTTTTTCAGATCTGTAACTTTAAAAGCTTAAGCAAATGGGCAGCTTTTTGCAGCTGAGTATTCCCACCCAGATGCAAGCTCACATCACTGCAGAGCTGGTACATTACTGAAAGCCTAGCCCAAGCAAGAGCAAGGAACTGCCTCAATGCTCTTCCATTCCTTATGCCAATAGCTTTCAAACAAAGCTTCCCAGATGACATTACTGAATTACAAGGAGAAATCTTTTATTTAATTCATTGATACAATATGCCTTTAGTTTATATACTTATATTACATTACCAACTGATTACATTTGTTAAACTGCCTGCATGGTAATGACATGGAAAGATTTTTTTCCTGAGCGTAAAAAAGGAACGAATCTGGATGAAAAAAAAAATGTGATAAGTAAATTTTATTTTCTACTATTTACACTAGTTTTTAAATATATTTTGCATTTAACCACATTGGACAATAAAAATTGCTCATGAATTTCTGGGTCAATTTTCTTTCTGGTTTTCTGCAGGTAAAGAGGAAAGTTTGCATTCTTGTTTCTGCTGATTTTTTTAAAATTAGTGACATTTTGTTCAGATGTGCTGGTGCCAAGCACTGAGATTTTAAAGAGTTCTAAACTTGAGGTCAGAAGCTAATAAGATTCTTCCATTTACCATGGAGTTTGGGTTTTTTGTTTGTTTGATCTTATTTTTTAAAGCTCAGTCCTGAAACTATTAGTCTGAGGATGGAGGATCTGGTCTTTATTTCAAAATTCTGGTCAGATTTTCTGTATAGGTGGGCAATTCTGCAGTATGTGCAACATAAAGATGTTGGGTGGCTTTATGCAGGAGGGGAGTTGTATAGAACAGAAACTTGGTTTTGTTTATGAAAAGCTTGTTCATCGTTGGTTATTATACCTTATTCAGCTTCCATCACCATGCACATGGTCTTAAAACTAGCAAAGTGGAATTGTTGGTTGTAGAGCTGCTAAAGAATTATTTCTAATTGTTGATTTTTCTTGTATAATTGTGTGCAATAGTCACTTCAAGGGTTAACCTAGAGTTTAATTTATTGGAGAATGCAGGCAGTTAAGAATCATCTTACTAGAATTTTATTGTGAACATCACAAATGATCTTTTTTCATACTGGAGTCTACAAATGTAAATTCATTCTTAATTATCTAGACACCGTCATTCAGTATATAGTTTTTATTAATATTTTCTTGATTTCTACTAATTGCTCTTGCTTTGTCCTTCTTTATAGAGAGCTATTGGGAAATTTGCTTCAGCAATTTTAGCCTTGCCAAAGTCTGTCATTAAACTGCCCAAAACTATTCTTCAGTATTTAATCAAAGCAGCAAAGGTACTTGACATTTTGCGAGTGCTCAGTATGTGACCCATCCCATAGTTCCTGATGTAATGTATTCCTGCATGCTTGTCTGCATTTTTTCTCGTACATGAATGATTCATAAAAATAATGAGAGCCAAAGCTTCAATCATAGTAAATGGAATGCATTTCATGCTTTTGGAGTGGTCAAGCCACAAGGAAGGTGGTCAACCTTTTTTTAAGTGCAACCCCAGAGAGAAAATGCAGACCCAAATTCTCATTTTCTTCTGATGCTGCTATATAAGATGGTCACATCAAGTCGCATGTATCTTACAGACGCTGTGGTAATTGGTCTCAGAAAGCTGGTAAGAGATTTGTAAAACACACATTTTGCTCCAAACCCCTTTTTCACTGTCTACTTTTCTGGCCTTCATCATCATGAAAAAGATTTCTGCATCTTTTCTTGTCCTCCTTGAATATATTTAACATTTCCTACCTTTGAGCACTGTATCATTTTATACTCCATATATATAATACGGTATTTGTAAGGAGTGAGTGTTACAGATTGAGCATACCAGCTCCAAAGCCTAAAAGATGCTGCATTTGAAGTTTGACCAGCGGTAAAAAATCTAAAGTAATATTTATGTATGCACCCAGTCAGCTCTTAAAATATCCACTGCTTAGCATACGTGGTTACATTAAATTTATTAATCAAATGCCCCTTCTTCATTCAGATCTTCCACCCTCTTCCAAGTCTGCCTTCTACCCTAATTTCTTCATTCACACCGTGACTGTGTCTAGCATACAGTTCTTCAGCTAACTGTTCAATAGCAGATGTTGATAGTGTCTCACTTCGAGTAATACAGTATTAGTTCACTTAAGTATCACCATTCCCCCGATCACTTTTATTAGAAAACACCTACTACAGAGCAAAAAGAAACCAGCGCCTCTGATCTCACACATTTTGTCATGTGGTGCTTATTTTGAACAAGTCCAACCTATAAAAATAAATGTACAGACCTTGAAAGATTTGAAAGAGGATCTTCTTATCAACAGTACCAAAATAATTTCCTCTCCATTGCTGTATACACTCACAAAACAGAACAAAGTATTTTTTCCCTTTTAAATTCATTTTGACAGGTTTAAAAAATTGCTTCTAATGTTCCAAAGCAATTTATGTATTCACATTTTTAAAAATATAAAAAACCAAATAGAAATTTTACCACTCTGTCCTATGAGGGGCAGTTCCAGCTTCACTGAGATACACGTGTGGTGTTGTCATTGTCTGCATGTTTGTCTTGTGAATTAATAGAGCTGTTTTTGTTACTGTGCTTTATTTTCACCTTCATGCCTGAATCTGTGTGCTTCCCTGCTCTGTCACTGTTTGCTTAGAAACCTGTCTTGCTTAGAAATAGAAGAAAATGCAGTGCCAATTGAAGATGAATAGCATTTTTCAGTGAAAACCATAAAAGGAACAAAAGAACATCTTTTGTCCTAAAGACCCCTGGAGAAGTTACAGTTACTTTACTTTCTGTTATTCACATTTTATGTCGTAGAGGGGAAAAAGATACGAGTGTGTCGTGGTTTAACTCCTGCTAGCAAAATACTCTCAAAACGCTGCTCTCACAAATACCCCTCCCTTCCTCCAG